CATCTGCATTTTATGTTCGAAAGCTGCGTTAAAAACATTTTGAAATTTATATCGGGCTTGGCACAAAAACACCGAGGCGGGTGGGTATTAAATGGGCCGAGAGTGAGAGTGAGGATGAGTGTGTGAGCAAGCGTTTGCAAGTGCGTGCTTTTTTCCATGTGTATGAATGTTTTTAAATGTCTTCTTTAGTCCTTTATTTTTTTTTTCTTTTAACTGGCATTTATTTTCTTAAACGCTTGAAGTTTTTTTCCCATTCGTTCTCGGAAGAAGGAGAAAACACAGAGCACCAAATCTGTTAACATTCCTGCTGGTGATGCTTGAATATACAACAACATCAGCAGCAGCAATAACAACGACAGCCCAGAGAAAAGGAAAGACACTAAGGAGATATAAGGGCCAAAAAGCACCACCGTCAACGACTGCAGATACTGGCGCTGCCGGGGAATGGATGAAAAACACCAGCATTTCACCAACATTTTGTGGCAATATTTTTTCGCACTTTTCGCTATAATGTCAGCGGAGGCAACCGCGTTGAGTCGTATGTCTACTGCGTATGTTGCCGTTGATGTCTCCTTGTGAATGAGCGAACTTAATGCCGTCCATGATGTCGGTGTTGTTGCTGTTCCTGGCTGTATGTGTTTTATTTTTCAAGAATCCTCTTTTTTAGCCACAACAACATGCTGTTTTTGTGGCATTTCCGTTCCTTCGTTTCTTCGTCGGCCGCTGATAATGCTCTTGCCTCTATAGCTATCTGACTGTCTGTCTGTCTTTCGGTTATGTCGCGCGGCATTGTGGAATGAAACGACCCCAGTGAAAATGCGTACACGGTAATGTGAGCGGCGATGGTGCGGGTGGCCGTGGTGGTGAACGATGAAAAGTTGAACACTTGAGGGGGCAATGAAAAACCTTGCGACCTCTAAGAGTATGGCTTGTTGAAATTAAGGTTTTCATTTTATTTTATTATTGCATAAACAGATCTGTTTAAATATGTGTGAGAATGAGGATTTCATGAGGATTACTTACAAGGTCGTTTACAATTTACAGGCTAACCGTAAAAGGTGGAGACAATGGATGCAAGAATAACATTTCGTTTTTAATTCGAAACTATAGGAAAAGTTAATTGCTGCACCAATTTTGCCATCCTTCGTTGAAGACCAAAGACTGGATTTTTAACTAAATGATCTCACAGCAAACATTTCTTAATAAACTAATTTGTATACATCTTTGTTTTTCACCCTGTATGTACATTTTTGTTTGATGGTGGGTGTATGCATGTTGGTTAAAGTTAATAATTTTAATTTTTTTTTTTCTTCTTTTTTGTAATTTTCATAAGCAGTCATTTTACTGGAGGATTTATGTTTTTAAATGCCAGAATATGTTGTTATTTAAAATATACAATCTCACCTAATGCACATACCGTCACACATAAACACACACACAAACTCACATAAATAAGCAAACATCATCAGCGAACATTTGTACTGGGGTAATAAAAATAATAAAATTACATAATTTTCTAAGAATAACCCCAACTTTCGTTTCAGTTGGCAGCGATGCAGAGCAGCAAAATGATAACACGAAAATAAACTTTCGGCTGACGGAAAAGGTGGCAATGTTAGAAATTTGACTACCTTTAAAATACGAATCTATGAAAATGGTGTAAAATGATAACAAATTCGGATATTTGTGAACATGATTTCCGCATTTGTTATCGTTTTTATTTTTTGAGAGACTTAAATATGAGTACAATTTCTTTAAATCCTTTCTGCAATTGAAACCAGTAAAACAAGGTCAAAAGTCGAGCAAGGGCGACTTTATGATACCCTACACCACTATGCGTATTTAGTAGAGCTCTCGTAACAAAAAAGGTGATATTGGGGATCTATGATCCAAAAAACATTGCTGTATTGTGCATAATATGACTTCGATAGCGATTATATTAAAAAAATATTTATTGGAGCAATAGACTGGATCTAGTTTCGCCAAAATGGTAAATTTCGGTTGGACAGGAAAAAATCTATTCAAGTTGGGCTAATATTACATATATGGTGGACAATAAACGTAAAACCGGAAAAAGTGTGTATCGAAGGTATATAAACTTCTAGCCGATCTCCATAAAATTTGGCAAAGATATTTTCGAGCATATATATGGTGAGGTGCACAAGCAAGTCGTAGACTCTGCCTATGAAGTTATCAAGCTAAAGAGTTACACCTCATGGGCCATTGGTTTGAGTACCGCTTCCTTGGCCTCGGCCATCTTGAGAAATACCAGTGCTATTGTTGCCGTTTCTACGTTTGCTGCTCTGATTTTCGTTTGAAAAAATTCTTTAAAAAATCCAAGTTTATTGTTGAAATGGTCTTTAAAAAATCAACTTTTATTGTTGAGATGGTCCTTTGAAAAATTTCTTTAAAAAATTCACGTTTATTGTTGAGTTGGTCCTTTAAAAAAATATTTTTAATATTATTTAAAAAAATACACGTTTATTACTTCTAAAGTCCTTTGAAAAAATTATTCAAAAAATCCACGAACGAACTTTGAAAAAAATTGAAAGTTCTTTGAAAAAAATGTTTAAGAAATCCACGAAGGTCCTTTGAAAATATTTCTTAAAAAAACCAAAGTTTATTGGCTGGAAGTTCCTTTGTAAAATTACTTTAAAAATCCACGTTTATTTCTGAGATAGTCATTAAATGGTCAAAGATATTTTCGAGCATATAAATGGGAGCTATACCTATATCTGAACCGATTTTTACCAAAATGTTAAGCACTTGCATTTAGGCTGAATTTCGTCGTATGTACTAAAACTCAGTCCATTTGAGCTGATATTGGCCATTACTTGATCCACAATGAACCTGATATCGGATAAAGACATATATGAGAGCTATATCCAAATCTGAACCGATCTTGACAAAATTGTAAGCAATTATCTCTGAGCTGTATCTAAGGTTGTTACCAGAGTGCATATTATGCATGTGAGGGACTTAAAACCCCAAATCGGATGAAACATGTATATGGGAGCTATAACTAAATTTGAACGGATTTTCAACAAATTTGAGGTACTTGTTTCTGGTCGGATGTGCCAAAATTCAGTCTATATGTGCTGATATTGGACTTTTGGTGCACAATTAACCCGGAATCGATTGAAGAATATATGGGAGCTATATTCAAATCTGAACCGATCTTGATACAATTTGGCAGATGTATTTCTGGGTTGTATCTTATATCTGGTACCAAATATAATTCTTATGGGGTACATATAACGAATGTGAGGGACTTAAACACCTAATCAGATGAAACATATATATGGTAACTATAACTATATCTGAATCGATTTTCTCCAAATTTGATGTACTTGCTTCTAGACTGAATTCGGTAGGATGTACCAAAATGAGGTCATTTCTGACAGATATTGGCCATTTGGTGCACAATAAACCCGAAATCGGTTGAAGATATGTATGGGAGCTAAATCTAAATTTAAACCGATTCTCACCAATTTCAATAGGGTTCGTCCTAGGGTATTTTGTTCACAAAAATACATGGACAGACGGACGGACAGACATGCATAAGACTCAGAAAGTGATTCTACGAAGAATGACATCCTTATATCGTTTTTTATGAAATTGTGACGATTGAGGGGGAGGTACAAGAAGGAATGCGAGATATTACGGGTTTGATGCAGAGCTAAGGCCTAAAACTTTTTTTTGAGACACTTTTGCTGTTTTCCTGTCTTCAAGCCTTCTTCGATCCTGTCACCTGTAGCCATTTGGGTGAAGGTTTTCAAAAATTAGCACAGCATAAGTGCCTCAAAAAAAAGTTTTAGGCCTTAGCTCTGCATCAAATCCGTAATATCTCGCTTTCCTTCTTGTACCTCCCCCTCAATCGTCAAAAATGAGGTAATTTCGGCTGATATTGGTCATTTGGTGCACAATAAACCCGAAATCGGTTGAAGATATGTATGGGAGCTAAATCTAAATTTGAACCGATTCTCACCTAATTCAATACAGTTCGTCCTTGGGCATTTTTACACAAAAATACATGGACAGACGGACGGACAGACATGCATAAATCGACTCAGAAGGTGATTCTACGAAGAATGACATCCTTATATCGTTTTTTATGAAATTGTGACGATTAAGGGGGAGGTACAAGAAGGAAAGCGAGATATTACGGGTTTGATGCAGAGCTAAGGCCTAAATTTTTTTTTTTTTTTTTTTTGAGGCACTTTTGCTGTTTTCCTGTCTTCAAGCCTTCTTCAAGCCTGTCACCTGTAACCATTTGGGTGAAGGTCTTCAAAAATTAGCACGATTTATATAACCGGTGAGATCCGGAAAATAAATATCTTGTAAAAATTAACAACTTATATACAGCACGGAAGTCTTTGAAATTATTTTTGTATAAACCATATTATTTCGATAGACTAGCGATTCATGGCCTGCAAGTGTTTGAAAAACAATCTTTAAAAAAAATTTCAGGGTATGTAAAAATCGCAAAAACATATAATTTTGACCCTATTTTACCCTTAACCAAGACTTAGGAGATGAGCCATTTTTGAAAAGACTCAGATTCCAACTCATTTTTAGGACTTCAGAAAAAGTGCTTGACTTAGACTCCGCAACCCTGTTTTTAACTGTGCTGCATTTTATTTAATTCCCTTCTGCAGCACAAACTCGTCAACGACTAATTGAGAAAAACGACATGACATTTAAGCAATACTGAGGAAAACATGTCTACACCAACAATAATATTAACCTATTAAAATACCCTGGAGACGTTATTATCCCACCTAACCAAGCGTAGGCTTTTTCGCAGAATTCTTAATTTCCAAAAACATACGTTGTATTTGCAAAGCACTTGGCGATTTGCATTGCTGTTTTTTTTTTCTTCTGTGTCGACTTAAATTTTTTTTCATTTCACATTTTCGGTTTATTTTAGCATTAACCCAAAAAAAATATATATTTCTTTTTATGAGCTTTCTTATTATTATCTATTATTTTGTACTTACTTTGGGATGTGTTCTTCGGGGAAATGCTACTTTTGGATCGACCTGTGAATAAAGAGAACAGAAAAAAGAAAAAAAAATTACTTGAGAGCAGGGGGTAAATTGTTTAGATCCTAAACATAATTTAGTAAACATTTAAAATTTTGCAAAATAAGCATAACATTTTAATGGCATATTTCTTTTTTGGTCATATCTGGCAAAAGGTTGTCCTTAAGTAGTAGGTTCATAAATAATAATAAAAAGGGTGGTTGTAAATTGCTTTAGATTAGATAAAATTACATAGATTGGGTTATATTAGGCTGGGTGGTGATATGAAGATGGGGGATTTAAAAAAAAAATAATTAGTCCACGTGAAGAAATAGAAAATAGACCGAAATGACAATAATAGGGAACGTTTGTCAGTCTTTAAAGGAAGAATTTCGTTTTCCGAAGCCAAGAAATATAATACTGGGATATAGAAAAATACTCCTCCCACGCAGGTATTTTTATACCCTACACCACAAGGTGGTCAGGGTATTATGTCTTTGTGCATTTGTTTGTAACAGGCAAAAGGAAATGAGATAGACCCATAGTTCCTTTTGATGATCCGCATAGAATCATTTTCTGAGTTGATTTATGCATGTCAGTCCGTCCGTCCGTCTGTCCATGTATTCTTGTGAACAAAATGCAGGTCGCATTTATTATCCGATTGAGATGAAATTTTGCAAACAACATTTGTTTGGCCCAAGGACGAACCCTATTGAAATTGCAGATAATCGTTAAAAATTTAGATATAGCTCTCATATATATCTTCGTCAGATTTGCCTTTTATTGTACACCAAACGTGTAATATCAGCCCGAATAGTATGGAATTTTGCACATACAACCAAATTAGGCCTGAAAATATGTATGCCAAATTTTATCGAAATCGGTTTAGATATAGCTATAGCTCCCATATATATTGTTCATCCGATTTGTTATTTTTGTCCTCCGCAGCCGTAATATGCACTCTGTAACACTAATATTTGGGGAAATATGTCAAATGCAGCTCAGAAATACCTTTGCTAAATTTTATCGAGATCGGTTCAGATTTGGATATATCTCCCATATATAACTTATATATATATATTGTATTTGTTACCCACAGCCGTAATATGCACTCCGTAACAACGATATTCAGGGAAATATATCAAATACAGCTCAGAAATATCTTTGCCAAATTTTATCGAGATCGGTTCAGATTTGGATATAGCTCCCATATATATCTTTATCCGATTTCAAATTAATTTCGCACCAAATGGGCAATGCAAGTCCGAATTTAAAAGATACAAATGCTTCGGCATATTTAGTCATTTGAATTTTAAATTATAATTTTAATCATAGCGTGTATGATTGAATTCTCCCATAAAAACTTTTAATTATTAAGTGGAGCTCAACTAAATTAGCAAAGTGGTGTAGGGTATCATAAAATCGGCCCCGCTCGACTTTAGGACTTTCTTTACTGGTTTTAATTGCATTCTTAATTGATTCTTTAAATAAAACAAAACATTTTCCTAATTTAAGCTTTTACACTCAATTGAATTTTTTGAATCAGATCCCAGATAACATGATTCAGAATACGAAACGTGTCTTAGTTTTGATTTTAATTTTCAAAATTTGCCAATCATACAATAAAATTTTATTTTAAATCTTTCAACTGACAACCCACATGAAATAAAATCATTAGTAATTTTAGATTAAGGGGTAGTTTTGCCATGCATGTTTGTGAAATGTGTCAGAAAAAAATAAATTAATTGATTCAAGAACAAAACTTAAAGGATTAATAAATTAATGGTATGATTCGGCAAAATGATGTGGCGCACATTATGTGGTATGCGTCAGGTGTTGTAAGAAGTTTTATATGAATTTTTTCAGAACAATACAATCAAAATCATAGAGGGTGAGATGAAAAAAACTGGAACCAACTTCAGATTGCTGTCATTTCAAAGCCACTCGTCCGACATCTGTTAAAATTATTCCAGTGAAAGCTCATTATATTGCGTACAAAAGCATTTTGGTGAGCATTTTCTAGAAAAAAAGTTATTCGTGATGGAATTCAAGCGTTTCTTTATATTTGGCTGGAAAACCACAAGTGGCTATCGTTAGAGCACTGCAGCATTTAAATGTGAATAAATCTTTTGTGTCTCGTACCATCGCTCGTTATCGTGATACTGGCAGCGTAGATCGACGTCAAGGAAGTGGACGGAAGAAAACAGCAATATCAGCAGAAATGGTTCGGAAAGTAACCCGAGTCGCAGTGGCCGAAAAATGGCTAGTGAGCTGAACATATCGCAATATTCTATTCGGCAAATATTGAAAAATAAGCTCGGGGTAAAGTCATTTAAATTCCAAAAAGTTCCAGAACGTACACCGCAATAGACAAAAAATAGACTCAAAAGAGCTAAAGATTTGTTTCGCTTGGTCGAAAGTGGTGAACTGTCGAATTTGGTTTTCTCTGTCTCCGATGAGAAAACATTCGTTGTCCAGCAGTTTGTAAATACACAAAATGATCATGTTTACTTGACAAAGAAGTCAGCTGAAGATGTGCACCTTTTCTGGCATTGGGCTTGCTACATTTTTTTTTTATCTTAACCTGTAGTGAGCCGTATGTGTTTGTGTATATGGGAGTCAATAGAGTATCAATGTCTTCATATGTATTAGAGAAAGAATTGTAGTTACTGAGAGCACGCGAATAGTCTCTTGCCTCGACCTGAACTAAATGGGAAATAAAAGCAAAAGAGATATAAAACCTATACACCCACAAGTATATCCTTTAAAATAACATGGGAAACCTAAAATATGACCCTCAATAGAAATATTAATACGAAGTTTAATGTTTTGATTAAATATATCTTGGAATGATAATTTGAACTTTCATCCCCACCCCACGTCGCTCACATTTCTCCGGCAAAACATGACTTGCGACCCTTACGTTATTAGAATACAAGCAATTTCCGCAACCCTTTCTCAAGCTATCACATCCAGCAATTAACTATTAACTAAAATACCAAAATAAAAACAAACACAAGGTCTTTTCTTCAAATCTAAACTATACCCAGATGTAGACGTACACCCACACAGTCACACGAACTGGCATTCCATTCACATATGTATTTGCACAACCACAAGGATATGCCCATCACGCATGAATATGTAGCGAACAGCTACTACTACTACTACTACTCAGAATTCATATGGAAATGAAAAGTTTTTCCCAAAAAGAGAAACATGTACTGATTTTTAATGAAATTAACGTCAGCAAATCGAAAATGGAACGGGAAGTCTTAACCAAGCCCCAGCACTATTAAAGATATTTAACAGGAATTGTATACTCCAAATTGAGTTCAAGTTGAGCTATTTATGTTTATTCTAGGGTTAATCATTTGAGTTGAAACTCCAATACAAATGTAAAATAGATATATAGTCTTCGAAAATTTGGGAAAATTTAGGTTAAATTCAAATAAGGTATCGCGTGAAATGAAAAACAAGTTTAATCTGTCATCAAAATTGTTTTAGACAATATGTGATCTGTTCAAAATATGAATTACAGTCAGTTATGACTCAAACAAACTGGAGGCTTAGAATTGGAATAACTCATTACAATGCAATGTTAAAAGTCTATGTTTTACATTACAAAATAATGCTTTATTTCTTAAAAACATAAAACAAAGAGAAAAAATAAGAAAGAGAAACAAGTTAAAAACAGCAAATTTTACCGTGCCGAACCTTGAATAACCTCTGCCACTTGGAAGGAGTTTGCAAATTTTCATAACAATCCGTTGAAAAATACTTCTTGAGTCATAAAAATAACGAATATAGCGAGTTACTGTTATATAGGGACCTAAACGAAGGCATGGACCTGCATAGACAATTTTTGTTATAGGCCATAGCGAAAAATTAAAGCGATTGGAAACTTGAAACAAATCCGTAGAATAATGTCACAAAAACAACAAAATACAGGTATTGGATATATTTGAAGACGTGGATCTGCATATTCAATTTTATTTCACACTTTCAACTTTAAATACGAATTTTGAAATAATTCCATCATCAAAATACCGGATATAGGGATGTACCGTTATGTGGTGGCAATACAAAGACCTGCACCTGAATATGTAATTTTTTTGACATAGAGACGTGGACATACACATGGTCACAGGCTGTAGCACCTATTACGAAGTTACAATAAGAAATTTGAAACAATTCCAGTGGATAATAGCGCTAAATGAATCAAAATACCGAATATGGGGAGGTACAGTTATATGAGGACTATACCAAAATTTAGACCTATACCGACATTTATATATAAGAATGCTTCTTATATAATGCGAACATATGCTGCCGATTTACAGCAAATTCGGCTTAAAATTGTGACTAAAACACCCAAAAACTTCAAATCTGTCGGTAGCCCATTTTCAATACCAAAAGGACTGCAGACTAAACACATCTCTGAGTAATTTATAGACCTACTTCGTTTTGTTCAGAAGCTAGAGTGAATTTCACAGACAAACGGAGGGACATCGATAAATCACATGGAATTTTCTGCTGATCAAGAATATGTATAATTTCTTCGGGTATGATTTTTTTGAGAGTCACAAACGGAATTGCGTACCCAAGGCTTTAGTACACCCTCCTAAATATTTTTGCGATAATATTCGGCATTTCTTCTAATGCCACGGTCGATTAATACGAGCGAAGGGCGACCATCGGCTGTCATGGCAGCCCACACAATCACCATGGCCGGCGCTTGAGATCTGGTGGCCAACCGAAGGTACACCGCGAGCTCATTTTTCAATATTTTCCGAATGGAACAATGCGATATGTTCATCTCACGATACATTTTTCGGCCACTACGACACGGGTTTCGATCGAGTCGCTTCGTAACTTTTCGAACCATTTCTGCTGATGTTGCTGTTGCTATGCTACCAGTATCACGGTACCGAGCGATGGTACGAGACACAAAACATTTATTCACATTTAAATGCCGGGGTGCTCTAACGATAGCCACTTGTGATTTGCCAGCCAAA